GATATTCAAACAGTCGTATGAATGTCCAATTGATATTGGGATCCAAATTTCAAATGACCCGGGAATGCGAGACTTCGTACATTTTGCTGTACTTATTGAAAATAGTCTATTAGTTATTTAAAATATTCAGTAAATACATAATTATTAGATAAATCAGCATAATAGCTTAAAACTAATACACAATAGAACAATAATTTAAGTATACACTTTTAATGTTCAATACCGTGTATTATGTGATTGAATTTTTCCGTGTTAACTCTAAGTGTGAAAAGAGAATTAATTTACTTAATAACTATTGTAATAGTATGTTCACAATACATCAGATCACCACAAAGTCATTCATATATTATCTATTATTACTATTATTATTATTATTATTGTTAATACAATACCGTCATTCTAATTGTATTTGAATGAAATATATTTAGTTATGTATAAATGCAAAATATTTTTAATAGTCTATTATTTCAATTGATTATTGTATCATCGCGTTAAATAATTGTATTATATATAGATAAAACTACGCATCTACTGCAGTGGTCACTTTACGAGAGTATTTGACATATTATTATCGCACAATAAGAACCGCGATACATTTCGACGTCTTATTGTTTGTTCGCGGTGTCATAACGCCGTTGAGATTTATTTCCCTTGTAATCAGAGAATACGACCAGACATCCGCGCGTAACTGCATCTATATAATATACTTAATATATATAATAGGACATAGGTGGTACACCGCTGCACACGCTCGCATTAGCCCCGAAGACATTTCAGTTTCTGTCCACCCAGTCATCAATCACAGACAAGGGATATTAAAGGAAAACAATCCCCCCAAGCAGCGAGTGTGAGCGTGTGCTTTGTGTGTGTATGTGTGCAGTTCCCAGTTTCTTTTGACTTTTGTACGTATACACACGTCGTGCGTGATGTGTATTATATACCAAGGAAAGCCGTGTATACGATTCCCGAGAGAGTTGCGGTGACACTTATGGTTATCGGTGTATACGCACGGTGTACACGAAAACGTGCATGGGGGGTACGGGCTACTCTGGTTCGGTCGATTCCAATACGTGAAAAATTGACATTTTCGTTTAGACCCTCGCGAAAGTGCGTCGCTGTGTAATAATAAATTCATACACATACCTACTAAGCAATACAATACAGTAAATATTTTACATACATAATATTATAGATTGAACTGCGACAGTTAAAGTGAGACTCAAATAAGTGGCGAGATATTATAATTTTGTAAATAATCTACACAATAATGATAATAATAATAGTATTATATAATTGATTAAAAAACACATAAAAATATGAAAATATTTTTTAATTTAATTATATGCGTAAATCCTTTTCAGGTCTATTCTAAAACATAATTTTGTTATCTTAGGTATTAGATAATATTAGGAATCTTGATATTATAGTTACAACGTTATGGGTGCATTGCATAATTCTGCAGCATTACATTGACACTACATTATTATGAAAACTTTAGTATAAGTATTAAAAGTCTATTCTGACTATCCAAGTTGTTTTAAAATATATAGGAGAGTATGCCTAAAATATTGTTTTTATAAATATAAAACTTACATAACATAGGTATTGCATTACTGTTGTATGTAGCCATGTAGGTATACCCAATCCTTGTTAATGTCATCACTCGTTAGCCGTCTCTAAAATATTAATACGTAATAATAATTAATAATATGCCAATTAGGTTTTAGTGTTCTACATAATATATTTATTTCATAAAATTAATACACTCGACTCTGACTAATTAATAAATAAATCATCATTGTAGCCGATTATAATATGTCTCATATTCTCATTTTATATTCGGCGACGCGTGTTTAATTTAACAACAACAGTAAGAATAAAAATATAATTATGCGTATAATGCGTCCGTCAAAATGACTATCAGTTCATACTTAATATATTATAATGTTTAGTATGAAAACCGGTTCTATAGTAAATTTCTAGAGCTAAGGATTTTATTCGTTATAATAGTGATATCTCTCATTAAAAGCAATATTATGTTTTATATTATTTACATGCCTACATGAATATAGGTATAATTATTTATTCAATTGTATATTCAAAAAAACATAATTATTATTAGTCATGCTACTAATTATATTTAGAAATTGTAATAGGTGTAAAATGTGTAATAGCCAATATGTATGAGCAGATGCGCACCGTATAGGTACTCGCATACATATATAACACGCTATATTATACTATCGGTTATGGCTACTACTTATGATTTACACGAACTGCAGTGTCAATTTAATAATGTGAAAATCATGTACGTGTACCTACATACGCGTAATGAATTTTGCGATGTACAACAGCAGGTTTCACCATTTCCCACTCGTCACTCGGCAGTGTTACGCAGACAGCGACGGGCCGTAGTTTCCCCGTAATGTAATGTACAACCGTGGTTTTCTACAAGCACACATAACATGCATACACACCACCTACACCGACACATAAACATGATTTATAATACAATAATATTATGATAAGCATACTTATAATGTTTGTTACAAGATTATAATAATCCAACGTGTTATGGTTTTCTAGACATCGATCCTCTTAATATTTTGATATATTAAATTTTCTGCTGCCAAGATCGTCTAAAATCTTCAAGAAAAATATGGCTATACACATAGCATTAGTAACATATTTATTTAATTTTATATTATGCGATATGTGTTTAATAAAACGTGCCCAATACGCATATATTATATTTATATAAAATAATCATTAATGCACGCTATTGCATGTGATAATTACTGTTAGTAAAAAAATATAGACAAAAACAAAACATACATTTATTTATCTTTTATTACAGACCATTTATATAAAATCATTTACTGCAATTGTTTCGTTAACGTTATCGTGGAAAATATATTTTGGCCAAGTACATAACAAATGTTTCGTTTAATAGATTGATGAACTTAACTTATTGCTGCAGTAATAGTTTTATTAAAACACGAAATATAATATAGACTATACATCTATACATGCTTATAGATTTAACTAAATTTATGGTTTTATATAAATTTCTCTGAATAGCATAATTAATTTAGGTATTACGTTGTAATATAATAGTAATATGAGAATATTTTATAGATAGTTGGTATTTCAACGATATTTTATTATCAAAAAAAGCGGAAACACATGAGATAAATAACAAAAACGTATACAATATTCTTGCGCAAGTTATGTGTAGAAAAGGTCATTGTTTTTGCGAAATGGTCGAAAGACCATAATATATCTACGGATTTTTCTGGGTAAAAGCAAAATGATTAAACAAACGTGAAAACTGTACGGGCATTTTCTCTCCCTATTCAACTTGGGAAGTATGTTTAGACGAATCAAGACAAATCCGTCTTTTTAACTGGATGATACGAATTAGTGTCTGCGCCCCGCAAATAAGTGATTTATCAGAGTTTCACCATCGGTCATTTAGCTTAAGGAAAGAGTGCAGATATAAAGTTTAAACAAAAAAATGAATTCAGAGAGTTTCGGACAAAGTATATAAATCTACTATATATATATATATATGAACGTACATTTGGCATTGCTTTTAAAACTTTCCCAAACGGTTTTCAACACTTTAGGCTGTGCTTACACTATATATATATATATATATATATTACGTGGTTTTTGCACAGGTAAAACACATTGTTGGTTTAATAATGTGCACATAATATATTGTGGTGGACCTTAAAGATAGCCCTAGGGAATAGGGTATTTTTTTCGAATCCCAACTATGGCAATCATTAAAAATCAACCGTGCGATTTTCGTATACTAAGCCTCGCTGTATTGAAATCAAATGAAATGTATTATATTCTTCAAAAGTGCAATAATCAAAGTGCTTTCATCATTTTCATCACTTTAGAACCAAACGTATAATCATGAAATCATCACAAATTAGGTATACACAAATTCTAATAAATTACGTCGATCTGTTAAAGTAGAATAGAAATATAGATAGGTAGCTTTTAATCTCTCGATAATGCGTTTTATTTGCACCGCCCAACTCATTCGATTACCGATACAGTCCCGTAAATTAACCAATAATCTTAATTTTGGTCTTTGTATTTTACAAATTATGATACAATTATTCATTTTTGTTTCGTAACCCAACCTTATTATGCTAAAGTCTAAATTACTATACGTATTATACAGTGTATAATTATTAATTTCCATTGAATAATAATTGTTTGTTTGCAAATACTCCAAAATTAAAATATTAAAACACATATTATGTACTTAAGAGTGAATTCTAAAAAATAACTGTAGTATAAGCATACAATTTATTTTAATTCAAGTACAAGTTAAATGAATACAGAATAATACGTTACTTTATGATTGTAACTGAAGTTGGGAATATATCGATGAAGAGACAAATATTCAATTATTGCGTTGTTTATTCTATGAGAATGAAAAGAAGGTTCAGATTAGCGTTCAATAATATATTCCATTACTTGAAAAATAATTGACAACTCGTTTTAAATAATTTCAAAAGAAATTTTATTTGACATTTGTTTGGTGCTACACCAACAACAGCTTCGTGAGTCTCGACTATAATGTATTAATGTAATGTTTTATTATAATCAGAGTGGGTTTTAAAACAACTTTAAAAACTACGAGTTTTAGGCATGGCAAAATTATGTTTTTATAATGAATCATCGTGTTGGAGATAATTCATCGTAATAGATATTTTTAAAATTTCCAAACAAAAATATTATCCTCAATTTAATAATGATACTGTGGCCATCGCTTGACGTTATTATTCATGTAGATAATATTTTTATATAATATGTTCCATGACGTAAATTTGTGTTACCGCTACCGAATTATCAATATTAATTATTATTGTTACCAATATTTCATTCGAAGATTCTGCCGATAAGTTTTGCATAAAAGAAAGTAGTGTCATTAATTAAAACCTCGAATTTACTCATCGCATTGCCTATTGTTGCAGTGATGAAAACCGAATACCATCACCATCACCATCAACACCAAATGCAAGCGGCCAACCCGGCGGCTGTGGCGTTCGGCGGCACTCAGTCTATGATGTCGGCGGCCGGTCACCACCAAGGTCTGCAGATGTCGGCGGCGGACGCAGCCCGCGTCGGCGGCGGCGGCAGCGGCGGCGGAAACAGTGGCCAGCAACAACAGCAGCTGCAAAACATGTTGAACCAGTCGCCGGTTTCCGTGACCCGTTCGCAGGCCATCGCCGGTGGCTGTAGCGGCGGCAACAGCGCAGCCATGATGCTGATGAACAACACCGGCCGGACAAACTTCACCAACAAGCAGCTCACCGAGCTGGAGAAGGAGTTTCACTTCAACCGGTACCTCACCAGGGCCCGGCGGATCGAGATCGCGTCCGCGCTGCAGCTCAACGAGACCCAGGTGAAGATATGGTTCCAGAACCGGCGGATGAAGCAGAAGAAACGGCAGCGGGAGGGCTTGCTGCCGGTGGCCCAGCAGCAACAGCACCACCTACAGCAGCAGCAACAGCAGGAGACCATGCACCTGAGCGGCACGAGCAGCACCAGCAACTCGCCCACCGCGTCCACCAACGTGTAATGTCCGAAACACTGCACGCTCGATCCGTGTGGCCGCTATGATCATAATAATATGACATTAACGCGCGACCCATCACCTCCTGCCCATTACCCACTAACCCTTTGACGACGGCCCTTAAAGGCTACGCCGACGGCGTGTATCCAACGCGCGTTTAATCGTAACATTTGCTCATCGGAGGGTCATGCGAGACGGCGACAGATCAAACTGTGCTGTTGCGATCCGATTGTGAAACGTACGCGCGCGCGCACAGATGATCTACGTGGACGTCCACCGGCGGCCACGCGTTACCGCGACGCCGTAGATTTCGCGGCACTGTAGTCCGTCGTACAATAATGATATACCGTCAACTTCCGGTACTATACCGCAACGACTCTGGCGTATGGTAAACGTGTTTTTATCTGTTCGATTTTCTATCCTGTACAGTTATTTCTCGTAGATTCGGTCTGATCGCGATTTGAGACTGCCTATAATATCATAATTTCTCGAAATACGTTTAAACAATAAAAATATGACGTAATATCATAATACATACAATACGGTGTATGCTTTCGTACTATCGATAAAAAATGGTGGTGTTTTGTGACTTGGGCGCCTGTCGGATAAAAATAAAAATATTTAAGAAGTAAAACACAACGTGGTATATTGTATTGTCGAAAAAATAAAAAATTACGCGAATAGGCGAGTAAACGTGGATTAAAATAAACATAAAACTTCGGAAAACATTATTAAAATATTAAAAATAACATTTTAAATTAAATTTTTTTATCGTGTTACTATAATAAGTGTTATGTCGTTATGTTTAGCTATAGCCCATAGGCATATCAGTTGAGCTACAATTCGTGGCACTTCATTAAAACACACGAAAGTGCTAGTAAATTCGTTCACCGTATAATATATATCATATCGAATCAATTATGTATATCATATATATAATTGCGGTATTATCAATTTATTTCAGTATGGAAAATAATAAATACATATTTCGTTTTAAAAATCTCAGTAATGAGTTTACCATTTACTTGAAAAAAATCATAAAAATAAAGTTTTAATAATAACTATTATTGTTTAATATTATACCATAAAAGTGATATAAACCATGTAAAAATAATTTATTACCACATTTCACAATCGACGATCAAAACGCACTTTTTAACAATTTATCTGTTATTGTATGACGGCGGTTGCGTTTTCGTTTAGTTCCTATATAATATATGTATAATTATTATTATCATTATTATTATTATTATTATTATTATTATTATTATTAAATTTATATTACATAATTATAATATAACTTATTATGTGTTTAATTATGTAGACATACATATGTAAAGACTGTACAGTACAGTATACAATATTATGTCTATGACATTGCACGTACCTATCTAAACAATTTTAAATTTTAATTCTATACACAATATCTTCCGGTACAGTTAAAAATAGATATGATAAATATTATATCATAGAGTATTCGTTAAATGTTTAACTTATTTGTACAAAAAATGGCCTATTATTGGTGAAAATACGTTTATTATATTTATTACTGTACCGCAAGAGTTCGTCAACTGTACTTCTCCTCTAATTGCAATTTACTGAAATTAAAATTCAAAATTATTATTTAATCGACAATTGGTATGGACATAATATTTTAACAATATGTAAACAATATATATTCATAGCGTGAAAGTATCTATTCAAATATTGTTTAATGATTATATTAAGTATATACAATGGAGATACTAGAACACGATTTCAAATAATAATGTGTAATTCCGTTCGTGTTATGTTTTATAAAGTACCTATATATATTATACATTATTTATGTTGTACTATTTGTAGTAGACGATATGTATTATAAAATAAAGATAAAACAAACCATAATTTATTACTTATCAAATGTTTTATTTTTATTTTTTGTACAAGTCCACGATATAGTGGAACACTCAATACCTCGACTACGTAGAAGTACAATTAAAACCATGCTATTCTTATTTAACAAGACAGTAAATAATGTAAATATTTATTATTTATGCTATAGGCATTTTTTAATATTAAAGTTTAAAGTTTATGCAGTGCATATATTTTTTAAAATATTAACTATCTTTTTTTACCACCAATTATTTTTCTTTGTATTATTTGTTAATTTTAGTAATCGATCCAACTTCCCATTAGTAATTTTGAATATTAGATATATTATTTGAATGTGCAACGTGTGGAGTTATTATTTTTAATCGGTTTTATTGAGCTGAGCGTAACTAAATTTTCTGTGAGACCCTTAATTTTTAGCCTCATATTCGATTTTATCTTTATAATATAATAAATTCTTAAAAAGACATAATTGTAACTTGTAATTTTGGACTGTAGACATTATATTACTTGCAACTATAGACTACAAATTTATAACAAAAACTAAGGGAAGAAATAATAAAGTTTTAAAATATGTTTTAAAGTATGACTTAAAGTGGAGCAGAAAACTTTAAAGGCATGTATTATATAATAAGCTATATTGGTTCACAATTCAATATATTTATGCAAAAACATTTTAAAGAATATATAATCAGACAATGACAATGAATGACAGTGATATTTTGCTGTAAGGAAAAAAAATCATCAAGAGTAACAAATTTTTGCAAAACCTGATTGGAAAAATGAATATCTTACGTTTAAAAAATATTACCCAGGTGTGTATGACACCCGACTACATCGTATTATTTTACGGTAAATGTATATTTGGACGTCGAAAGTTTAAAACACGGTTTATAATAATTTGTAAGATATTTACACATTTTTTTCATATTGATTAACTGGATAAAACGAAAAACGCCATGAAATCGGACAGGATATATCTATATTACGTGTAATAATATAAGGTATAGTACGTATATAAACATAATAAACGTTTGGGCACCGAAAACGTTCTTCGAGTCCGATCCGTTTAGGGACCGAAGACCAAATTTCTACCCAGACACGCGCACACGCACACGCATAAATAATCTATATGTACGTGTATGTAATAATACGCATACACGCTACCGCCCGCCAATGGCGAACGAGCGAAGGGTCACCGTCGTCGCGGACAATAGAGATCGAGAGCGGCGAGAATTGAACAACGGCACTCATCGTCCGCCGGACCACTTTTTGTCTCTACTACTCGCCTGCACTCACTCGCCGGCCGATCATCGCGAGGGGCCGAAAGCAATAGGGACCGGACATTTTAATCTACCATTATGTGTCCCTACTGCCTGTCTGCACGCCTCACGCATATTATATGTACATATATATTAAACACGCATACGCAGGCGTGTGGATGACTTTATCCTTGTATACGCGTCGATAGAGAGTGTGAGAAGGTGAGAGAGTGAGAGAGCATGTTTCGGGGAGTGTCGGGTGAGTGCGAGAGTGTGTCTCGGATAGTGTCAGGGATGGTGTGATAGTGTTTGGGGGTAGGGGAGGTGAAACACTCATACACGAAGTATAAAAAAAAATGAGTGAGAGAGAGAGAGAGAGAAGAAAAAAGAGTAAAAATAAAACACAATGGGGGTCCGCCGGTCACGGCGTTATCGGGGGAGGTTGCGGGCTGCAGGGGCGAACAGGCAGTGGCAGTGAGTGGCAGTCGGCTGATAATAATGATGGATTATGAGAGACCCCGCACCCGCGAGAGTTTCCCCCCGGGGGCGACCCGGTGCATGTGCGCAAAAGTGGCGTGTGTATTATTATTATTATTATTATTACAGACTAACACAAACACACACACGCTTTCACATATACACACAGGGACCCGCGAAAACCTACGTCAAAACTGCTCTACGACCTTTGCACGTCGTGCCAACGGCTCCCACCTATATATAATACGTTTAATATATGTATATAACTATACAGCTACTGTGTTCTATATTATATATATATATATGACGCTGTCTGTTATGTTATTTTTATTATTATTATATTTCGGAGAGAATTTTATGGTTATTTCGATTATATATTATATTTTTTCGTCGTTTCGTTTGCCCTTTTACCGTTACCATTATTTCGCGCGTTATTTTCATCGTGTGATGTGTTTTGGCGGGTGTGCGTTAGAACTCGAATTCTTTAATGCAACCACGTGATGTGTTTTGGTATTATACTTAATTTATTTAAATATATCTGGATATAACGATGAATCAGCTTGCCAACATTATAAATAATCAAACATTTCAGATGCAAGCAAACATTTAATTGATTTTCTTTAAGTATAGTTAATACTCAATACAATATGTATAGGAAATCCATTAAATAATATTTACATATATAAAATATTACATATATTAGAAAAATTATCAATTTTAAATATAATCCAAAGATAAAGTAATCTAATATCAAGATATTATAATGATAACTAAAACTTATAGGTCAAGGATTTTTTTTTTTTTTATTTAGATAAATCTATTATAATTTGGATTGTTTCATAATATGTAAGGTTAAATAAGTTCATCAAAACTTAAGAGATACCGAAAACTAAACGTAAATAACATTTTTAATGAATAATGTCTTTAATTAAATCTATTATAATTTGGATTGTTTCACAATATGTAAGGTTCAATAAGTTCATCAAAACTTAAGAGATACCAAAAACTAAACGTAAATAACATTTTTAATGAATAATGTCTTTAATTAAAATTGTATTAAATCTTATTATTAAGCTTTATTATTATTTATTTATTTTAGGCAGGTTACAATCCACTCCAACCACATAAAGCTGTGAGACAAACTGTATCCAGTGTACTTAAGATTCTGTTTTTTTTTAGTTAGGATTTTTTAATGTGAATAGCGCATAATTTCGAATCGAGTTATGTAAATAAAATATTTACAAATGCTTATAACGGTTATGAACTAACGTGAAAATAACCCTAAGGACTTTTAGATACAGTGTATTAACTATTATGTTAGAATGTAGCACGCATATTGCATATAATTACAAGCGAAGTAAATAAGTGGTAATTTTATGAAATGTCCAGACAATGCTTAGAATACCCAGTGTAAAAATGCAAATAATGTTTGAGCATTATTTAAAGATAATTGCAATTAAAAAAAAAAAAAATGATTTCTAAATAGTATATTATATTTTGATAAATAAAAAAAAAGCGGGCTGCTGTATATTAAATTTTATAAGTATCTCGTCATAGAGTAATGGATGTGTTCAATTTAAATTCAATGATAAATCATTGCAAACAGGAAATGATTCTAAGTAGTCACGGTATCTCTAACCATTATTTCCAAGAAAATTTTACAATATTTACTTATAAATAAATATCCAATTTCGTTATAAATAGAACTTGAAATACATATAAAAGACAACATTTTCTATGTATTTTTAGATTCTTGCAATATCATTATATGCATTCTCAACTCTAGGAGTCAAACATATCTACTAGAATTTAGATCCAATTTCCTAAAAACCTCCATCGAAATTAGAAAAGGATGCAATTTTATACAACAAAATTTGTCTTTTTTTTGTGTCACTTCTAATGCACAAAAATTTAAAAAAAAAAAAACACAAATCATTGTAATGTTGTTGATGGTATCTTCTTTATTTATGCGATACATGAATAGTAATGTTTAATTTGGAATATTCCATGGTTACTATCCCTTTATAGTTTTTAAATAATTTTTTTAACTTCAGAACAATAAAAAGTGTCTTTCATTATCATTAGGTGCATCATTGTCTCGCGAAGAATAGTTAAAATAAATTGCCAAATCTCAAAAACAAATTTAATCTACTTAATAAAATGAAACTTCTTTTGAAATTATAATAAAATAATTCAGTAAAAATTATCTTGAAAAATAATAACATTAAATAATAAAGAAAAATGATATATAATATCTTTAAGAATTTTATATCTGTATTATTCGTAAACAAAAAACAAGCGTAATTTTATCAGAAATAACTAAGCATTTACAAATATATTATACCGATAATAG